CACCAGGGGGTGCAGCTTCCTAACACAAACGCCTTATCTGTCTGAAACGCAGACTTCCTTTTATCATTTCACTGTGACTTCCACATTTCTTCATATTAAAAGTCAAGAACATTGTTTAGGTGACACTCTAGACATGAACTCTCCTCCAGGCTTAGTGACTGTGGTTCTCTTAGTGCTTGGTGAGTAACATGCCTTTTAAAATATGGATTCTTTCTTCTGTTAGGTCAGCAAAATCGTTAACCATAATTTTATTGAAGAACTTTACGCCCAAGGTGACACAAATCTCTTTTATTTTTCACCAGGACGAACCCGTGGAGACTCAGTGTCCCAGATGGGAGGCCAAATGACTCTGTCAGAAGGGGCATCCCTGAATGTAAGCTGTACTTATTCTGCGACAGGGTACCCCATTCTTTTCTGGTATGTTCAATATCCCGGAGAAGGTCCTCAGCTCCTCCTGAAAGCCCAAAAGGCCAATGAGAAGGGAAGAAAGAAAGGTTTTGAAGCCACATACCACCGAGAAGCAAATTCCTTCCACTTGGAGAAAGCTTCAGTGCAAGAGTCAGAGTCGGCCATGTACTACTGTGCTCTGAGTGACACAGTGACAGAAACTGCAGGGGGAGCTGAGCACAAACTCTGAGCAGAACAAGGGGCCTGGCAGCTGAGGGTCTCTGACTGTTTGACTCACTGTGGTGGATTTTATTATTTAAGATCAAATACACAATACCTTTCGTAAAAATTTCCAATCTATTTAGCATGTGCACAGAGCAGATGGGATACTTAGATCTCCAGACACACGATACCCATGGGGTATCAAAGACAAAAGGAATAATTTTATTTAGGAAATTATGCATTAAAACATGGATATAAAAAAAGATAAGTTGTTAAAATGTTGAAAAAATTTTATCTGTATAGATATAACTCCAAATTTATTTTTGTGATATATTTCATGTATTAGGATATTAAAATAGATCCCCCCTTGTAAATAAAAGCAATGTTAAAAGACAGTGAAAACCTCCCTTGGTTCAACTTTCCACTAATTATCTGTGCACGGAATAATTATAGACCATTCAATGATGAGGGATTTCTACTTCCTCTAATATGTTTTTGAGGATTTAGAACTATGGCTTTATAAATAGTTCAGAAAAGATTTCAAATTATATAACAAAGGTTGATGGACCACTGATAAAAATGTAATGGCTGTTATTACCACTTTCGGTTTAATCAAATAATCTCTTTTTATATATATTTCCCTTACTGATGCATTTGGCCTCATTTCTGATAATTTGCTTTTGTTCCACATGCTTTCCTTTTCCTTGACTTTTCTAGTCTGTCTTCTGCTGCATTGCTAATTTAGAAAATGAAAAGTGTCTTTCTGTTCTTCAACAGGTACCCAAAAAATATGTGTGTGTCTCATTTTATGCGATTTCCCCCTTTGCATATACCATCTCTTCTTCTTGGGTATACTTCCTCTCTTCTGATTTACTGTTTTTACAATGACCCCAGTGACAATGGAAGCAAAGTCCACATTAGCTGTATATGAGGAGAGTAATTTCAGAGAGCGAGTATCAAACTAACTGATAGTTTACAGTTGCCAAGCACATTAAGAAGAATAATACAATAGAAAGCCACTTAACACAATCATCAGAACATGAATTCATGCCCTTCTTCCTCAGAACGTTTGCCCCTCATCTTCCCTGTGCCTGGAGTGAATTCAACTACTAGCCTCAAGGCTTGTTCCTTAACTTCTTTCTAGTCTCTGCTGCTAGACAAACATGTGCACAAGTGAATAAAGATGAATACTCAAAGAGGTTTATATTTCATAGATAAAAGAAACAATATTTTAACTCTCCTTCCATAAGGGAAGGGTTGTGTGAACAGCAGTATATTCATAATATGAGATGTAACAGTGTCATCGAACCTAATACAATATACAACATTGATTATTGAGTTATAAAACAAATTAAAGAGAGTTGTACACAATGTGTATAATTCTTTTATAATAAAGTGTAAATACAATACTATATATTTTCTGTTGATTTACATCTATAGTAGAACATCTGGAAGCATCACCTCCAAATTGATTAAGAAGAAGAAAATTTCTTCGTGACAGAAGAGTGAGAATTGGGAATGATATCAACAAACAAGATTTTAGTCTAATATGTAATATTTTATTATTTTTAATAATTCATAGGTTTACAAATTCCTCTTGTTCTTAAAAATGAATAAAAAGTCAGAAGCCCTTATAAAGGTTTATCCATATTCTGTATTTTTCTCACCAACAAAGGGGGAAAGGCGAAAATGACACCTTCTCCATAAGATTTTGTTCAACCACCGCAAGTATAAGTAGTTTTCCTTCTTCTGGGATCAGATAACTTTTAATTTCAATTCTTAGGCAGAATAAGAAATGACTTTTGCTGATAGTCCAAAGAATAGAACAGTCAAGAGAGACCAGTGAGGATGTGAGCCAGTCTAATTACAGAGTGCTAAGATGAGGAGAGGGGTAACAGTGTTGATGTAAATTTGTGTTTTTCAGGTCTGCCACTCTGCACTTGAGAGAGCTGGAGGCCGTAGTCTATAAATCCGATGTAAGGGTGATTCTCTGAGCAGAGGTACAGTGGGAAAATGTTACTAATTATTGTGAGCATGAAAGCTCAACAGAAAACATCTCTATAAGCTGTTTCTAATTTTTTAATTGTTATGACTAAAATTGCCCAAACCCATTGACTTAGAAATTCTTTGAATACCCTAGATATTCTACCTTTTCATATAGCTCCTTGAAAGTAGAAGAAACAAGAATAAAGAAAAGACGATGAAGGAAAAAATAAGGAGCAAATATAGAAGGAAAGGAAAAAGACAATATTTAATTTGATCAGCAAAGTGTGGTCAGATCAGAATCAGCAATGTCAGTCAATAGGGTGCCCAAGATTTGGACAAGAGAAGATGAGAGGTGAAAATTAAGTCACAGTGGACATTATATACATATCTAATTTTTCACCAACCATATTTTGTTGGAATCATTTTCTATGCAGATAGTGGTTGTACATCTTGATTTCCAGAAGTGTCTTGATTTCAAGGAGATACACAATGCATGCTGTCAGACAGTTTTTCATGATCAGAATTTTCATATAACTGAATTCTCAAATTCTCTGTCAAATCACACAATTTGGCAAGTGAGGTCACCCTTCCTAGGATTCTTGAAAGTTCTACAATGCCCTTGAGACATGAATTCTTCTAGAAACATCAACCACCCTTCTTCACACACTATCCTAAAACTTATCATACATAAAGTGTTTTAAGAAAAACCACTTATACCTACATACATTGGAAATATTGCCCCTTACTAAACTCCTGCATTGTTTGCACCCACAATTTAGAAGAGACGACTGTGCTGTCTGACGGGGCCACTGTGGGTGGAGTTTCCTGTTAAGGGAATGACAGGGCTCAGATATGATTGGTGCTCAGTGAGTCTGGTGGAACCTAACAACTGAAAGACAACATTTGCCTGGTCCAGGACTCTACACCCTCCAGAGCAGGGCAAAGGCACCACAGTAACTGGACAAGGAGACATGGAGACACACCAGGGAGCTCTGTTGGGGCTTCTGTAGGTCCAGGTTTGCTGTGAGTTGGGGCCCTCACAGGTGGAGGACTGGGGAGTGTTTAATGGGTGTCAGTGGAGCAAGGGAAAGGAGAGCTGACACAGCTCCTAGGCAGTCCTGCTTGAGTGTTTCTTTTGATATTTTACAGGTTTATTTAACTGTCCAGTACCCTGCACATCATAGCCTCCCAACTGGAGGACTCAGCCACCTACCTCTGTGGAGGGCAGGCATAGTGCTCCCAGGCGATCTGCAGCCTGTACCCAAACTGCAGCTGGGCCTGCAGCCCCACTCCTCCCACGGGGCTCACGTGTTGCCCCTCCAGTCTCCTTTGCACATCTTCGGGTTTTCAAATTTATGTTCCAGCACTGTTTTCCTTCCTAAAATTAGACTCTTCAGGACTGTCATTTCACTTGTTTTCTTCCTCCTTTTCCTCCCAGAAATCCCTTGACCAAAAAAACTCTAATATGAACCACTGAAAAAAACTGATAAAGATGCCAATGTCCAATGCCCTTTTGAGACAGATTTCCTTGCAGGCAGCCTATAAAGGACATGCAAAGAACTGCTGGGACAGGCTTGGAAAAATCTATAGTAGTCAACAAATAGTAAGTGATGACTCAGTTTTTCAGGAAACTGAAGATGGTTCTACTTTAAAGGAAAAGAAAAGACAACATGTGTCATTTTTTTTTAAATGTTTGCATGAAGATTGTTTAATCCTGGAAATCGGAAATAAAGTGAAAATAATTTTAGTGAAGATCTGGCACTTCATCTACCTCATTACATCTATCGTCTATTTCAGTATTGATAAAACCCTGCAAATAAATATTCTCTGTTCTTTTATACTGAGTAATGTGAAGATTGTAGAGCCTAAGTGACTTGCTTGAACCCACATTATTAATTAACTAGTGAAATTTGGGTGACATGAAAGCTTATAATCTGAGCTACGTGATATAATAGACTCTTTAGAATCACCTAATTGAATGGTTTTTTTTTGGTTGTTGTTGAAAAAATATACATGTTTACATATATTACTATCATAAATATACATTTGGGCCTTTTCTTTTAAATTTAATTTATTGGGGTAACATTGGTTAATAACATTATATAAGTTTTAGATGTACAATTCTATAACACATCATCTGTATATTGCATTGTATGTTCACCACACACAATCTAGTCTCCCTCTGTCACCATATATATGACTCTAAGTACCCTCTTAATCCGGCCCCATCCACTTCCCCTATGGTAACCGCCATATTGTTGCCTGTATCTATGAGTTTTACTTGTTTTGTTTGTTTATCTGTTGCTTTCTGTTTTATATGCCACTCATGATTGGAATAAAATGATTCTTGTCTTTCCAACTGACCTACTTCACTTAACATGATCTTGTCAAGATCTATCCACATTGTTGCAAATGACAGTATTTCATCATTTGTTATGGCTGAGTGGTATTCCATTGTATGTATGTGCCACTCTCAAAAGGACTTTTGCACAATTATTTGTTGAGGGACACTTAAGTTGTTTCCATGTCTTGGCTATTGTGAGTGATGCTGAAATGAACATAGGGTCCATATACCTTGCCAAATAAGTGTTTTCAAATTTCAGGTAGATTCCCAGAAGATGGATTGGTGGATCACTCGAGGTCTATTCTTAATTTGGGGGTGGGGGGAAACTCTATACCGTTTTGCATTGAGGCTGCGCCCCTTTTCATTCCCACCAGCAGTGTACGAGGGATCCATTTAGGTCATCTCTAAATCGCACCTTGTATGAAGGAGCAGAAGGAAATTTTTGTTCTGTTCCATTAAAATCCATGTCTCTACCTTGCATTTTGAGTGAAGCTATTACTCATGATGACATAACATTATTCACAGTTTGGGGAAGGGTGCAGAAACCTTGCAGGACTACGCAAAACAAACTCTTCTCTGTTGTAGCCAGAGACAAATATTTCTGGCACCCAAACCTGAAGTTTAAAGTTGTATGCGGTTGATTGCAATGCAAATCAAATTTCGATCTGCAATGTCCTTTATGTTAATAGAAGGGCATTGATAGAAAGGGCTGGCAACCTGGTCAGGAAACAGGAATGCATGGCAGGAGAGTTGGCTTATACTGTAGAAGAAGTTTCACTAAGGATATGTGTCAGTACTTACATTTAGGACAAGCCATTCATTTTGATGTGAAAAATGAAAACATCTCAAGAATGAATTCATATGTGGTCATATTTTCTGAATCTGCAGTCTGATGTTCTCTCAGATTCTGTACCCTTTCAATACTTTGCAGACTATAAGACACATAGCATTGAAATAGATTTTTAAAAGCATGACAGATTTTTCATTGTAAAGCAACCCAATCTATGAATCATATTTTTTTCTATTATTGAAATATTAAAAACTCATGGAAGATATTCTTCTGAGATTTAATCCTTATCACTGAGATTTAATCCTTTACTTTTTATCCCAGTCATCTTGAGTGAGGGAAGATTTTTATTTTCACTGTTGGTACTGCAAATTCTCTGGGAATAGAAAGGTCCAGGACAAGACCAGCTTAGAGGAGCCGTCTGAGACAAGAGGCACTGGAAATATCGAATGATCTTTGTTTATTCTGATCTTTGACTTACACGTTCCTTTTACATTAGTCACACTGACACCATTTCACTCAGATTTTCTCCATAACAGATAAAGGATGATGGAGAAAAGAGGTTATATATTTTCTTTGTTTAAAAGAGTGAATAATCACCAATGTTCATAGCAGCATTATTCACAGTGGCCAGGACATGGAAGCCACTGAAGTGTCCTACGATAGATGATTAGCTAAAGAAGCTGTTGTACATATATACAATGGAATACTACTCACCATAAGAAGAGATGAAATACTGCCTTTTGCAGCAATATGGACAGAAAAGGTTGCTAATCACATGCCTTCACTTATATGTGGGATATAAACCTAAAAGCAACAAATGGACAGGGCAAACAAACAGTGATTCATGGACATCGACTATAGGCTAGTGGTTACCAGGTCGTAGAGGGTGGGAAGGGGGGAGATAGATGGGATGAAAGGGATCAAATATATGGTGACAGAAAGAAATGTAACTACAGGAGGTGAACACACAGTGTAAATATATATATGCCTTATTGTTAAAGTGTACATTTGAAACTTATTGGATTTTGTTAACCAATGTCGCCTTAAAAAATAAATTAATAATTTTATAAAATAAACAAGAAAGTGAATAATGGCACTTTTCTGACGCAAACATGTGAACCCAGGCCATCGTGGTAAAATACCTACATCATCTGCTTCATTCCAACATTTAGACAATGACTCAGTAGAGGAAGAGATAGAAATCTTGTTCTCTACATTCTTTCTTGATCTCTGATCTAAAGCTTACTTTGTTTGACCTATTGCTGCCTTTACGTGTCTGAGTTTCTATAGGCACAGGGTCAGAGAACACTGACCAGCAAGTTCAGTAGTTATAGATGTGACCACAAGGTGGTAGTGCTCCTCTGCTGATGCTGAATATGTGGAAGGTTCATTTTAGTGGATTCTAAACGAATAGCCTATAGCAGAAGCATAGCCTTTCTCCTATTGGCTCAGTAGTGCATGTGAGAAACTCTTATGTTTGTTAGAGAAAAGAAGGGATATTTTGATGATCGAAGAATCTCCTTTGTCTCTAGATTACAGGTCCATAGTGGATCCTAAATGGGAAGAATGCTGAAGACATTTATTGGAGTTTTATTCATTTTCTTGTGGCTGCAGCTGGACTGTGAGTTGAGGGTTTATGAGAATCAGAGTGTATTAGCAGTATTCTTTAGAAGCCAAGACGGGCTTTATTCAGGTTTCCTCTAGTTACTGTGGAGCAAGACAATTCTGAAGCATAATGATCTGGCAACTCTTTTTTTTCTGACTTTTCTTTCTGCATAGGGGTCATCCGAGGAGAAAAAGTGGATCAGCATCCTTCTACCCTGAGTGTCCAGGAGGGAAACAGTCCTGTTATCTTCTGTACTTATTCAGACAGTTTGTCAAACTACTTCCCTTGGTATAAGCAAGAAGCTGGAAAAGGTCCTCAGCTCATTATAGATATTCGTTCAAATAAGAACGAAAACAAAGATGGAAGATTCACTGTTTCACTGAAGAAAGCGGACAAAAATCTCTCCCTGAGCATCGAAGCCACTCTGCCTGGAGACTCAGCTGTCTACTTCTGGCAGCGAGCCCACAGTGCTTCCCAGGCACCTGCAAGCTGTGCACAAACCTGCCAGTGGAGCAGCGCCCCCTTCTTTGAAGGGATAGAACTTCAAGCACGGCATTTATCAGATAGTGTTTGTCTGCAAATGGAAATGAAGGTGTTGTCTGTTAAACACACGTAAGAAAAAGGTTAGATTCAAGATGACCCAGATAGGGTCATTTGTTGGATGAGAACAGTGAACATTTTGTCTAATGACTATTGTTTAGTGGATTCTTGAAAGTAGTTAGTGATGTTTTATTTGGAAATTTAGACTTTAAAGATGATTTGACATTTATTATTCAGACTCCTATAAAAAACCCCTTCGCATCAACACCATAATCCTTATTAGAAATGGGCTTTTAAACATGGTTTTCAAAAATTAATTATTGTTTTCTGATTATAAAACATTATGTCAAATATAGAAAATGTGTACAATATGAAAAAATATGAAATTGATTATTTTGTTATCAGACAGTGCTAATATTTGCATTACTCTTTGCATAAATTTTTATTGTGACTTGGTTCTTGATTTTTTTCACTTACTATTATATCTTGAATTGCTCATTGTCCGTTATATCAAGTCTTCTCAAATAATTGCTTTTTAATAACTGTGTGATAGACTTTAACAAATTATAGTTTTACATTAATTTTCTTCCTCTATATTGGTGGCGAAATGTCACAGTCTTTTCTGTGTTCTTACCACTTTCTTGTGACTTAGATTTTCCTTCAGAGCTCAGCCATGGTATATATGATTTGTGTGTTTGCTGAATTTAGGATAGAGAGTGATTTGAGAATGTGAGCTTCGATTAAACTCACAAATCTATTATTTTTTACCAAATTCTATACTTATCTGTTCACATTTTCTCTCACATAGAATTTAGAAGGCAGAATTTTGTATTATTCACTGCTATAGCTGTAGTACTCAGCAGAAACTTTTTCACACAGTTGATCGATTATCAGTAGATGTTTGTTAAAGAGAAAAGGAAAGGGGAGTTCTACGATTCACTTGTAATTTTAATTGAGGCTTTGCGATACAGTTAAATTTATAAAATTATCTGTGAACAGAAAATCTTTCTACTGTGTATTTGATTATTGTTTTAGAATGTATTATTTCTTTTCATTTATATGTTTTTCTTTCTAGATAAAGTTTCATTGTTTTAAGATGATTAAATTTATTTTTAGACTTGTAAGTTTTTGTTACCATTATGATTAAAATCTTTCTTTCCGGGATATACTGAGAATTTTTTTTTAGTTTATGCTAAATCATTTAAAAATTTGTAGCTTTGAGGCATTTTATTATAAAAGCTGGTATTCATATACAGAAAGTAATAGAGACTTAAAATTCATCATGCATTTAGTTCATTTCCTAGCTTGACCTTCTAAAAAATCTTTAGCCGCTGTATAAGGATATTCTCCTTCACTAGGTGATTTAAAAGCATAACTCGCCAATGAGAACCTCTTATTTTTCCTTTTTTGGCAGTAGGGCTTATAGCTAGTGTTAATGCTGATTCTCGTTTCGTTATTTTAGGTTCAAACCCACTGAAGGCCCTCTTCGAGTGTAGTTCTAGGCTTTGTACACAGACAGCAAAGAATTAGCGAAAGATTTAGTAAGCCTTATAGAGTTTGGTAGACTTTGAAAAACTTGTTTTACTTGAGGCTCCATGTGCTCCATGGCTTACAAGACATAGCGGCCTGCAAATCCTGCAGCAGCGACGGTCAGTCAGCTGCTATCACTGTCCTGGCGGCCATGCCTCAGCTGGGCTCCCCTGCCTCCACCCAGAGCGCAGTTCATCCCAGCCCAGAGCAGGTGGCTACCAACTCCACGCCTCTCCCAGAAAGCAATGCGGACACCACTCAGGAAATTTATATATATATTTATCAGCCACCTTCCTTTATGAATGGCATAAAGGCATGAGAGTGATGGTTATTTTAGAGATAGCTTGTTACAGATCTCCCTGCCTAATCTTAGCATTTTGAGTAAATTAAATATTATTAATCACAACCTTCTTCCAGTGCTGCAGAGGGGTGCTTTGCGTACATGCTCACTAGCCATCTGTGAAGGCTCACTCTGTTTTAAGTTTATTAAATTTCTTTGGGTGTCATTGTTTACTAAAGTTATATAGGTTTCAACAGTACAATTTGATCATACATCATCTATATTATAATAAATTATGTATAATACACTGCATTGTGTGTTCTTCCCCCAAAGTCAGGTCTTTCTTGGTTACATTATATTTCACCCTCTTTACTATCTTCTGCCTCCCCCAATCCCTTTTTGCCTCTGGTAACCAACATACTGTTGCCTGTGTCTATGAGATTCTGTTTGTTTGTGTTGTTTGTTTATCGATTTTAATTTTATATCCCACATATGAGTGAAATCATATAGTTCTTGAATTTTCCATCTGGTTTATTTCATTTAGTATGATATTCTCAAGATGCATCTATGTTGTTGCAAATGGCAGTATTTCATCTTTTCTTATGATTTATGATTGAGCAATATTCCAGTGTGTGTGTGTTTGTGTGTTACCACATCCTAATCCAATCATTCATCAAAAGACAGAGGTTGTTTTCATGTCTTGGCTACCGTGAGTAATACTGCAATGAACAGAGAGATACAGATATATCTTTATGAATATATGTTTTAAAATTGTGGGGTAGATACCTAGAAGAGGGACTGTGGGGTCATTTCATAACTATATTCTTAATTTTAGAGGAACCTCCATACTGCTTTCTATAGTGGCTGTATCAAATTACATTCCCACCAGCAGTATTTGAGGGTTCCTTTTCCCCCAAAACTTCACCAGTACTTGTTATTTCTTGTCTTGCTAATAGTAGCCATTCTAAAAGGTGTTACATGTGGCCAAAGCTCATTTTTGTTGCCCTTCTGTGTGCACTGGTAGCTGGCCACTGGGTGGGATGGTGTGTGAGCGAGACGCGAAGCCTTTGGGGTGCCTTTGGGCAGCCAAAGGGATCTACTGCAGCTCATGGGCAAGTTTCCGATAAACTCTGTGCCATGGTTAGTAGGATTCCTGCCCCTTTAATGCCCACTGAGAGCCCTGGCTGCTGTTCTCACAGGTGTTCTCCACTTCCACGTTGGGCAGCACAGCTCGGTATTCTGGATGGGGCAAGAAAGAGGTGGGTCTCTTTGGCAGCATCCCCCAGTGTCCTAGAGAGCCAGGTGCTCCTTTACATGCTCTCACTTTTCCCTAGAAGATTTCTCTTGGCACCAATCTGGGCTGTGTGGTGGGGACGAGTGACTAGGGTAGAGTGAGATTGTTCCCCATATTCTTTCCAGTGCTTCCACTCTCAGATATTTTTGCTCCCACGGTGTGCTTTTCCCACAGTGTAACTTCTCTGCTGGACTCCTGGACACTCTAGTTGGTGTAATATTGTGAATATTGTTATTTTGGGGGGTGGGGGTAAAGATGGTAGAAAATTCTTGTGTTGCTATTTTGATCTCAGTGATTTTAATTTGTGTTTTTAAATAATCGTATAGAAAAATTGCCTATGAATTTTGAATTTGAATACATTGTATAGACCATGTTACAGTCACATGATCATGATACAGAACGGTTCCATTGCTCCCCAAAATATCCGTTTGCTGTCCTGTTGTAATTACGCACTAGCCCATTCGTAAGTCCTTGCAAACATTGTCTGTTCTATATTTTTATCATTTTAAGAGTGTCACATAAATAGAATCATACAACACAACCTTTTGAGATGTTTGAAACTTGGTGAGGTGAAGCACGTGCCTCTGGGTACGTACATGATTTCCACCCCTGCCAAACTCTCGGTTCTTTCTGCCATTGTTGTTTTGAACTGTTAAGTAAATTTTATTGTCATAGTTTATCATTTCAAGTGTTTGAGTTCCTACTGATGAAAATTCTCTGTAGCGGTATCAGTAGGGGTGTAGTTATTTGCCTTTTCCAGGACTAGGCATTGAATGAGGTATCCAAGAATTCTTTACTTTATTGTACTAGTAATGGCTTTGTAGAGCTGAACTATGTTGCATTACTGTGGGTGTTATCCCACGTAAAGGCTGTACCTAAGCAAATTACTTTATTATTAAGAGAACAAAGTCAGTTAAATCAGAAATATCAAACATTCAAGTATTAAAGTGAGACTATACCTCTACAAGTATGAAAAATAAAAGGATGCAAAAGAGAGTATGACAATCAGTGGTTCCAATCATCTAGGAGAACTCTCTTCTAATGGTATTGAATAAAGATGACTACTTTTTGTAATTATATGCTTGTTTCAAAAATCTTGAGTGAGTACTCATGTTCGGTGGACTGTCTGCTTCTGATTTCTGGAGAACTGCAGCCGAAGTAAGCTAACGTAAGTAAGTTTTCAATTCTTGTCATGTAAGGACGCATGATGTCATTCTAGTTGGTAAACATGCAACCAATGTTCATTTTCTTGTACTTTATCTGCTGAACTGGTAGTAAATAGTACCTAATAAAGTCATTTTACAAGTCCAAATGGCAATCTGTCTCTAGAATTTTTTTTCGAGCACCCAGTCAAATGTCTTAGGTCATGCAAGGGCTGATTAAAGAAAAGCAACCTGTGGCTTTTGATAAAAGGACTGAGTATCATTAGTTTATTTTTCTAGTTGAGAGTGTGAAAGAGTAAAAGATATATGGTTTGGACATGCTGAATTCCATGGGCCTATCTGTCACCAGTTCATAATGAGACAACATATGACTTTGTGAGGTGAAGAATGCAGGCCCATGAGAGGTAAGGCTAAAAATGTTAGTCCATAGGAGTGTCTGATACAGTAATTCATTTCAGTTTTAATATTCCATTTTTTTCTTTCCGGTTTTTCAGAGGATAGGGAGGTCATAAGAAAATGAAGATTCTCGATGAGGGCAAAACCTTACCTCACTGCTCCCAAGAAATTTTTTTTTTTTTTATAGAGAGATAAATTGAACTGGCACAGATAACAAACACAAAATTCAGTTGGTTTTTAGCTACTGTGAGGGCCATGGGTTTTTGAGATGAGAGCGCTTCAACCACATAAAAAATAAAATACTATTCTTAGCACATACTCGTGATCCATGGAAGAAATGCAATTGCTTTCGATCCTTTGGAGATATTCATGTGTTTTCTAGGGACTGTATTCCAGTTCATATTTCACCTTTACAGTTTTTATGGGATTTTGTTGGTTCCAAGAGAGGCAGGTACTGGCCACATTCTCTGCCATCCTAGAAGTTTCCCCACTAGACAACATATCCTTAAAGTGATATGTTGTCTCTGGATTGTTCTAGCAAATGTTCATTGGAGATTATTTGGCTTTCGAAGGAAGCAGTCCTGGCTTTAAAATA